ACCCTCAAGCTCAGTCAAACCTCAAGAAATCCAAACAAAGTGTTCCTATGCTGTCCCAAGAGCAGAGAGGCAAGGTGTGGTTATTTTCACTGGATCCACCAGTCACCCAAACCCAACAATATCCCTAAAGCTGCTACACCATCTGCCCTCAAGAAACGATTGAATGAGATGGTACAAGAAAGGTTACAGAAACGCCCTAAAGTAGAGGAAGGAGGATTTAATTTCCTTAAAACAATTTGCTGTAAAATGATTGCATTAAACGTTCACTAGGTGATCTCATTAAAACGTGTCTTGATTTGCCTAACACCCCCGGGAATTGCACCATTGCCCCAACATGTCCAATACCCTTGGGACCTCTTTATTTTTATAAAATGGGGATGATCTCTGTTCAAATCACAATATTCGCTACCATGGCTTGTGAAACGTTTAACCAAGATCTTGAAATAATCAACACAGGCTGCTGTAGTCTTGACAGTCCTTTAACCACTCAGTTTCTGCTTCCTGCTTCGAAGGAAACAAACTCTGCCCGAGATTTAATGGAAGGATTGAAGATAAGAAGAAAGTCTATCATGCCTTAAAAGAAGGCATCCACGCAGAAGTACAGTCCAAATGAGGAGAGTTAAAATGTCATTGCTCACTCATTCCTAAAATGCGACGCAGTAAAACTGCCAGAAACCTGAACAAAGTCTTCTTAACCTGTGGAACACCCGCTACAGCTGATATTCGCTGCAAATATTTTCAGTGGATCCACACGCCACTGTATATCGATAAGAGACCCATCCATAATCTCAAGTATGCTACAAACCTGACCCAAGCCGAGTGGATGCAACAAAATGAAACCAATGAAGAAAAGTGGAAACAGCTCGACGGGTGGCAAAAACAACCAGTTAAAAAGCAAGACGCTCAAACCCAAACAGAACGGAAAGACGCACATCGGACGGAGGAGAAACACCAACAGGCATGGTTTAACCAGTTTGCTGAATCAGCCAAAAAGCAAGACGAACAAAGAAAATCCCAAGCAAGTTATCCCTGGAAGACCACACCACTGCCAAGTACTTTTGATTTAACGCCTGAGATAGCCAAGGAGCTTAAGAAACGTGAGCAATGGAAAGAGGTTCAAAATATTGCCAATCATGAGTTTCATGCCCGCATCAAAAGGAGAAAGCAAGTTCCTGAGGAAGATAGAAGTTTAGCATCCTATTTGCAGAAGCAAAAAATTAAAAGATGTTATGCTATCACCCGCTGATGAAACATATTTAGAAGCCTGCCAATTCAACAAACATGATGTGTGGAAATCTCCTCCAGGTGCAGAAAAGTATGAGAAGAACGAAGCAGCCATTTCCAAAGCAACGTATGGTCCCTGGCCTTTTGGGTACTTGCCTGAAAAAATGGGCAGTTTAGCTTCCTATTGCCGCAACAGAAAGCAGAAGGGATTGCCTTTAACGCCAGTTCAGGAACGTTTTTTTGCCCACTTAGTCAATGTGAATCATGAGTCTGAACTGCCCAAGTGTCAAGAACAATTTCTTGAAGGTCTCAAACAAGGAGCTTCCATAAAATGTGTCAATTTTTAAATAAAAGCGTTGAAAAGGAATTTTTTGTGGTTGTTTTTTCGTTGGTTACGGTAAGGGTTAGGGTTAAAATGCTAATAAGGTTAGGGTTAAACCCTAGCCCCTTGGGATTAGGGTTAGGGTTAGGGTTAAAATGCTAATAAGGTTAGGGTTAAACCCTAGTCTCTTGAGGTTAGGGTTAGGGTTATTGCTGTGACATGTCCCAACGTGTCCTGATGATGTCATACGTTGATGTCATACGTTGATGTCATAGTCATGTATAAAGGGGTGATTTTGTTTTCAAATGAGTCATACAGCCATGGATAATCTACAGTATAGAAGCACTGTGTGGATTTGTCGACAATTGTGTCAAGACTCTGACATCCCTCAAGACGTATGCCCTACCATTCCGTTATTTAAGGCTATGATGAACCAGCATGCTTCCTGGGGCCGTTATGCAGTTTACATGACCTGGCTGGACCGACAGTTTCCTTGCCAAGGATATATCGTGTTTCGCTATTTAAAGAGATACTATCCCGCTTGGTACCTATTCATTACCGTATTTAGCGGGACAGTATCTAATGTATCATGTTGTCAAAAGTATCCACTGCTTATGCCGATCCTTCGCAACCTGGCTCCCTAGGAGGGGTGACCAAATTTGCCAAAGCGCACAAGATTCCTCAATCTCAAGCCAAGCAGCAACTGCAGCAACTTGAGTTATACACTGCATAAACCTCGACGTCGACGTTTTCCGACCTTATTTACGCTAGTGTTTACCATCAACGAACAATTTGTGATGGACTTGGTGGATCTGCAAAAATTAGCCAAATACAACCGAGGCTACAAATATTTACTCACGGTGATTGATGTGCTCTCCAAATACGCGTGGGTGGAACCTTTAAAGAGTAAAAGTGCCACGGTGATGGTCGATGCATTACAAAGTCTGTGGGCAAGATTAGGAGATCGTCTGCCTGAGAAAGTACAAACGGATTCTGGCGGTGAATTCTATAACGCCAAAGTGCAAGCCTTTTTCAAGAAACAAGGCGTAAATCATTTTTCGATGCATGGTGACACGCATGGCTCTGTGGTAGAACGTTGGAATCGAACTTTGAAAACGAACATGTTTCGCTATTTTACCGCCAACAATACACTCAAGTATATTGATGTGTTACCTGCTTTAGTCAAAACCTATAATCATACCTTTCATCGCAGTATTCAAGAAAAACCTGTTAATGTCACACCCAAAAACGAAAATGAGATTGGGTATCGTTTGTATGGGTCCAAAAAAGGCATGAAAGTGAAAAAATCGCAATGTAAAGTAGGTGATAAAGTGAGATTGAATAAAAAATTTCGTCCGTTTAAAAAGAGCTATTTACCAGGGTGGACGGAAGAAGTGTTTTTAGTGAAACAAAATCTATACTAAAAAGCCCGTGGTCACGTATAAACTCATGGAATGGGACGGAACACCTATAAAAAGCACCTTTTACCAAGAGGATGTTCAAAAAGTGGTGTTGCCCAATGACGCATTATTTCGTATTGATCGAGTGTTAAAACGACAAGGCAAACAAGTGTTTGTGTCTTGGAAAGGGTGGCCTACCAAATAGAATAGTTGGGTGTGGAAAAAAAGATTTGCAAACACTATGAAGGAATTTCGTATCACATTGATTAGTGATCCCACCGATGAATACACTCAGAACAAAAACAACAATTTTAAAGTCCGTTTACCCGTGCGACTCAATTTACGATTACAATTACAATTTGCGACTCTGTCACCCAGGAAATCCAATGCTTCATACAGTTTAAGCTGAGCAAGCGAGGTCGTGAAAGCAGCGATGAAGACGTTGGTTTTAAAGCTGCGTTGGTATTCTTCTTCTTCCATCACGTCTTCACAGCAGATTCGGATGTTGCTTATTTCGTACGCAGGATCGTCCAGCAATTGGAACAATTCATGGGGTTGTGTGAGGCAGTGCGTCTGGGGTTTGTTTTGCCTCTCTCCAAATTTTCCCCATAAGCTGAAAAACAGAGAAAAAATACAAGTTTGTTTATGTTTTCTAAGAGGTTCGCAGATTATAATTTTGACGTGCATACGTTATTGCACGGTACCAAACATTTCACCAAACCTTAAATGCAGAAAAACACTGCAAGCTATTTTCTTAAATGCATACTTCTACTGCAAGTTTGCCATACATTTCTTTGTTATTTTTTACTTAAAGCGGGCAATGAACAATGTACAGTGCGAATCATTTCGCTTAACCTTAGATGAAGTAAATCACTGCAACTAAACTTTTTAACATGCAGACTTTTTACGCAAGTTAATTTGTTAACATGAAGACTTTTTACGCATTGCGTGACAGGATCGATCCCTGTCAGCTCGATCATTTCTTGTGAGAAGGCACTGAGTGAACCATTCAATACCTCGATATCGCTGCGCAGATAAGCCGATGACTCTTTCTGAAAATCAAAGACCGCTTTGCTTTCGACTTTTTCCTTGTGCCATGCGAGGAACTCTTTTCTTCATTTCTCAGTCATCCGTTCCGGGTGGTAGTCTTCCACAGGGGGGTACTCGCCAAGGTAGTCATATTTCTCAGGTCTAATCCATGAATAAGCAAAGAACGCCTTGTACTTCTCTTGCAAATTAAAGGTGGCAGGCAATTTCTCGAAGGCCATGTTAAAGAAATTGGGGGAATCTCTGAACACCATATTATTACATTCAAAGGACAAAAATTTAGCACCCTGACTAAGCATCTTGACAATCTTATAACCCATTTTATACAACACGGTCAAAATAAACGACGAATCAAATCCTCTCATATTGTGCGCATACACATACACTTTCCTTTCCTTTCCATTGTCTGTTACCGTGTTTGCCATCACATCCTGCAACATTTGCCGCGCAGTGCCTGCCTCCCGATAACTTCCTTCAACACCCACATACCGCCACCCAACACGATACTCTTCAAAATCCTGGTTTTTATCTGTATCACATTCAAAGTCAATGACACATTTCATTGGTTCAACTTTCGCAGAATCCTCTTCCTCCTCTTCTTCGTCTTCCTCGTTTTCTCCTACTGCTCGAAGACCTGACTTGTTTTACTTGTTCTTCATAGGGTAGGATATAACAGCGGTGATTGATATCTTTCTCTTCTTTACAGTTGGGGCAGGTATACTGATAACAGATGTGTTTCTACTTACTTACTTACTTGACTCTTTACAACACTCGCCACATTTCTTGACTTGACTACACACACTCTTGCCTTTGTGGCATTGTTTGTGCGCTTCAAAGCAGTTCTGTCCATAGAAGTAGCGGTTACAGTCAGGGCAATACACTTCTGCGGTCTTGAATACTGCAAAATTGGGACATGTCTTGTTTTTTCGGTAACAGGCGCTACAGTTCTGCCCCATACAGTTGTGATAAGAATGTATTTCTTCATTGTAGCCTTTCTCGCAGTAAGCACAGTAGTAACTGCGGTTCAGCAGAGCAGGAATACTTCGCAATCCGTGGAAATGGTTTTCAACTTTGAGGAGGGTAATTTTCTTAGGAGCACTTTCAAAAGCACAGTCTTTATACCACAGCAATCCTTGCATGGCTTCAAATACTTGGATCTGATAAGTAGGCCCCATGAACTGCTGAATCTGCTTGATCTGCTCCAAACCACAAGGACCCTCAAGTACACCACTGTCGCGATGTAGTTCGTGGGGAAGATAGCCCTGCTGACCACGACCTCTTTTGATATTCTCATACTGCGGATCCTGATCCGCTAGCGCCTTCATTGTCACGATGGCGCGCGCTGCGCAAAGTTCATCTTCGTTTTTGATCGTCACAATCCATTTTTTCTTTTTTAACGTTTGCTCATAGGACATATTGCCTGGATTTCCTTTCTTCCCACGACATCCACTACCCCGACTGCGATTCTTAAAGAAGAGAAGCTCTGCGTAAAATTCCCCATTAGCACCATCAAAACTCTCGGAGGAATTCAACTGTTTAGCCAGACGATTTAACCACGCGCGACTCATCTCACTTCCATTTAACCAATCAACGAGAGGGAGAGGTGGACAACTGGTCCACGTATGGGAACCAATGCTGTGATGAATGGGCATCCACAGCGAATAATCTTCGACAGGACCAATTTGATTGTCCTCAACATACTGAATCAAACCTTGTCTAAAGGCCTCAGACACCGCTTCTCCTTGAAATTCACCATTGGGCGCTCGCAGTTGCTCCAAACGAAAACGAACAGCATGTTGCGCTGCTACACCGTTGCGAAAAACCCGAGGGGAACCAATTCTTTGTGGTTTGATACGAAAGAGAGGATTACCTCCCTGTTGATCACCACGTCTCGCAGCACTTAACAACTCAGGCTCATCCACCGGATCCATTAACCTCTCCCCCTGACTTGCTGTCCATTCCTCTGAAAGAGAGAGGAAAGACATACGTTCGTTTTGGTTCGCATATTATAATTTTGCGTGTGTTTTAGCGGTTGCACAGTACAAAACAAATCGCGTAATCTTAAATGCAGACTTTTTACGCAAGTTAACTTTTTTACTACAAAGCCCCAAGGTCCCAAGGCCCCACGGTCCCAGGGCCCCAAGGTCCCAAGGCCCCAAGAAAAATTTAGCTGTAGAAAATCCACTTCGTCCTATTTGTTATTGTAAAGCCTAGTAGAAAACTTTAACGGTAGCGAACTGTCTGAACGAAATCCACTTCGCCCCATTTGCTGCTATAAAGCCTAGTGGGAAATCTGAATGGTAGCGAACTGCTGAAAGGGTTGCGAACTAAACATCTTAGATCTCCGATCGATACATGAATCTCCTAGCCAAAATTTCATTGAAACAGCTAAAGAACTTTGTTTGCTAATAAACTACACCCTTAGACCTAGACTCTGTCACGTTTTAGTGCCAAACCGGTGATTCCCCATACATTTTACTAGGAAACACCTCTAAAAGGAATAGGAATTCTCTACCTATTTTTTAGCAGAAATAAACATAACTTGCGAATGCTTTGCAGATTAAACTACACAAATGACTTAGACTTTCACTTCGCTTTATTCTCTTCACGAATCATTTACGCTTCTAAAACTACATTTTCGTTTATCGTTCGATAAATCATACAAAAGAACAGCTTGCGATTTACGCAATGAATTCCCGCTCATTGCAACCAAACATGCTTGCTTTAGTGAACCGCTACAATTATAGAAAGAAACATACCGTCCATCCTATTTGCTTGACTTTCACCCAAAGAATCGTTGATTTCTAAAGAATTATTCATCAGTTCGTCTCCATCGGCATCGGTCCACGGCGTTGTGTTCATGATGACGGTTGAAACCGTCAAAAAATTTCAAAATTTTCGTCTTTTCAGCTCGCGTAAAACTTTTCTGTAAAAATCAACATTAAAAGTTTAAGCGTCTGCGAATGCGTTCATAATTAGGTTGAAAATATAAAACTCTAATAGTGCACGCTTCTGCATTTTTATTAACGCTTTTTCCTCGTAATTGTGAAATTAGACCATCTAGACTGAGCCTTGATTTTATCCTTTCACGTTGTAGACACTCATACATGCAAAAGCAAACAGCCATCCATTTTGTTTTGTAACAGGAAACTTCTTTCCTTTGCTTTATTTCCTTTACAACATCCCTAAGACAAGCGTATTTAAAAATACATTTTTCAGACTAACGAACTATAATATGTTTGTCTACAAAGGCAACATGGCTTGGACGCATGTCAATGGTAGCGAAAAAATTTTCGAGAAACCAAAATTCTTTGTGTACATACCTAAACTGGTGACGGTGTTCTTAGCGAAATTTGTTCCTCTGTTCTTCATAGTCAATTGCTTCTAAGGCGACAGCAAGCGGATGGTGTGGTGGAAGGTATTTTCTGGCGGGATGCGGAACAGCTTTCAGCGCGAGGTTTTCTAAGGTCTCCATCACTAGCAGATTCTTGAGCTCTTGCTATCGCAACGTTTGTCGAGCAACTGGTGAAACAACGACTGAGAACGCTTCGCTTAAGTAAGAGACCCTAAGCTCTGATTGGTGCGGGCGATCTATGGTTGGAGCGGCTGTAGGTGAGATTAATGAGGGGCAAATTCGAAGCGGCTTTTAGCCGTAATGATTTCGCGGTAATAACTTCGCTGTCTTTTAATAACCGCCTTTTTCAAGTTTGCGACAACGGTCTTTTAAAATGATTGGAAACAATTTTTCATTTTCAACGATGACAATCACAAACGGCTCTTTTAGAAGCCACCACATGATTAAAAGTTTAGGACCAACACTCGTTCTTATAAAACTTATGAAAAAAACTTTTTCAGTCTAGCGGCTTTTGCTAGGAGGCAGGCAAGCGGTAGTTTGAATAGTTGTAAAGCGGCGCTCAATTAATTAGAATTTGACCGAAACATATAAAACCTCAATCTTTCGGGACACATTCACAATTCAACTTTCGTTGAGACAACCCACATTGAAGATGGAGTTTCACCCTGAGCTGCAGTCTGCTATTACCGTGGCGATGCTTGAAGTCGAAAGAAATCTCTCTCTACCAACTAACTCTCTGGTTAACAACACTTCGTTCACAGAGATGAAACAAGACGTGAGAAGACGACAGCTGAAAGTACGGCTAGATCGGCATTTTCTAGCGAAGGTCCCCAACAAACATCTTCAACATTCCCAGGAACTGCTTCTTCGTAAGCAGCTTACAGAGAAAGAAAAGACTATCTCTCTCTTGCTGCACACCGTAGAGCTACAAGAAAGTACTAATGCTGTGCTTTTTGATGCATTGAACCTACTGAAGGAGCAGTAACTAAAACTCGAAACACAAACAAACGGCTCCTTTAGGAGCCACCACATCATTAAAAGTTTATGACCAATACTCAGACAGTCTTGGTAGTATAGTGGTTAAGTATTCCTGCCTGTCACGCAGGCGACGCAGGTTCGATTCCCGCCCAAGACAACTCATTTATTTTTTCTTTTTAGCGCTAGTGATAGCGTTGCAACAGCAAGGTTGGAAAGACTTTTTTAAATTTTTCTACTTTCTTTCGCTGGAAGGTGCGCAGCGCAATGCGTTACGCATTAGTACGGCGCCGTATTATTCAAATCCTAAACTCACGGGTTCGATTCTCTCTCTCTCTCTTTCAGGTCTTTATTTTTTCTTTGTAAGGATCGTAGCGGTATAGTAGCGAAATGGAGATCGCGTCGGGCTCATACTTTCAAAAACGAAACCCGAAGGTACGAGGATCAAAACCACGCTATGCCTTCTTTTTTTATTAAGAACGACTCTGTGACCAAATAGCGTTTGACCACGAATCAAAAGATTCCAGGTTCAAGTCCTGGTTGAATCGATAAAATTTTTTTGCAACCACAGAGTTTTGATCTCTGAACCTCTTGCTTGCAAAGCGAGCGCTCTCCCGATTGAGCTATAGCCCCCTAGATGTCCAACACACTTTTATTTTAAGTCTACCAAAACTTCTGCACATTTTAAAAAAAAGTTTTAGAACGTTTTTCTCTAAGATTCGGTACTGTGCATGCCTACTACATTACGCATGCGCACTGCGCAGGGGACATCCTCCCACAAGTGTGAGCTCAACCCTTCGTACACCTATATAAGTTCCGATGATACTGGTATGGAATAACGAAGACCACCCGAAGTTGACCCGAGGATGACCGGACGACCACCCGAGAATGAGCGGAATAATAATTAATACATTTGAATAAATGAATTTTTGATGAGTCCTTGGAGGACACTTCGTGATTGACTACTTCTGACCTACCCAAGGAAAGGACCCTTCGCGCCTATTACATCAAGTACTTGCGCCCATGGTTAAGACCGCTGAGTACAAAGGTTGCCTTAAATGGGCATCTAATACTACTCATATGCAAGATTTGATTTTATAAACAATTAAATTATAGATAGTACCCGACCACCGCATAGGATGTTATAACACATATTTGCATAGGATGGATCTGATAATAAAGGCACTTTAAAAGGAATAATTTACCTGTCATCAAAAAGATAAAATAATGAATTTTGGTTGTACACGTCATAATTTCATACTTCTTTTATTGTTGTTTTCCATATGGACTCTTGCCGCTACATCAGATCGTAATTAAGTATCATTTGATTTCCAGTGACCGTCACTGCGTAGAAATGCATAATAATTTTGTTCCGATTCCTTTAAACACAACATTTCTGATTGGAATAGATGTTTGAAACAATACTTTTTGAAATATGTACAATAATTTACATTTTCACTAAATTCTACATCATAGTAAACCTGTAATACCAAAATTTAAAATTCGACAAAACTTACTTACCTAAAGAAATATTTAGTCTCAGTGTAATCAATGGAATAGTAAGCATAGATCACGTACATTGTCAATCAAAATCCATAACTATATATCACGGGTTTTATGCTGTGAATACTTTGAAAGTGAAAATTGAGACGGTTAAAGGTAGAAAAATGAGTTTTAGTCATTCAAACCATAATCCCCGTCCTTTTTTGGTACGATGGCTGTCACCACAATACTGAACTTTGAGCCTGGTAGGGTAGAACAGATGGTTTACTTGTAGCTTGCTTTGCCACTTTCAATTTCTCGTCAGTTTCAAATTGTTTGTGAGATTTCCTAGTGTACCAATAGACCCCCATTATTTTTCAAGTCTAGGCACCTGACTTACAAGACATTAAGCTTTATTACATTTCTGACCCTACCTATCCCAACAAATGTGTTGTTACGCAGGTTGATTTTTTTGGGAAATTGGTTATTTTATGGAGGGTCTTTTCTTTACAAACAATTAAATTATAGATAGTACCCGACTACCGCATATGATGTTATAACTCATATTTGCATACGATGGGTCTTATAATAAAGGGTACTTTAAAAGTGATAATTAACCTGTGAAAAGAAAATGCAATGAATTTTGATTGTCACGTCATAATTTCTTTCGTCTTTCTTGTTTTTTATATGAACTCTTGCCGACACACCAGCTCGTAAGTATCACTTCATTTTCTATGTATTTCGGGCTTACCCGCA